ATTGAAAGAGAGATAAATAGTTTAGATTTCTTAAAATAGTATTGACTCGGACACAGTTCTAAACCAAGGAAATTCTTGATCTAAATAGTACATATCATCGTTGACAGTTTCAAGATGATCTCTGAAACTTTACTGAAACTGATTCATTAACAAGTTGGAACTTATGCAGTTTAATAATACTGTGAACCTTCCTCAAAGTTTAAAACACCTGTGTTGAATGTTTGATGTTAAGTTTAACACACTTGTGTTGAATGTTTGATGTTAAGTTTAACAACTTGTGTTGAATGTTTGATGTTAAGTTTAACACACTTGTGTTGAATGTTTGATGTTAAGTTTAACACACTTGTGTTAAATGTTTGATGTTAAGTTTAACACACTTGTGATGAATATTTGATGTTAAGCAGGAAAGTCGTACTATCAAGTTAACGCAGGAAAATTGAGAAGTAAAATCACCTGTATTTTCTTGCAACCCAAAAATCTTAATTTTGAATTAATCAAAATGAATAAATATCAGATTATTTTTACATTTTCACTCTTTATTTTTATATATTGTTTTACTCCTATTGATTAATTTAGTTGAACTTTTTTTTAATATTAATTCTTGAAGATTTATTGTAAAATATTCGCTAGAGTTGTTTATGATTTATTTACTTAATTGTTTGTTTAAAAATTTATATTAAAGTAATTTCCAGTGGTATGACTTGTTTATATATTATCTTGATGGCACTGGCACGTCAGGTGACAATTATGTTGTTATTTTTGGCAAAAGGTCTCACTCACACATCAGGTGATAATTATGTTGACACAAAGGTCTCACTCACACATCAGGTGATAATTATGTTGGCACAAAGGTCTCACTCACACATCAGGTGATAATTATGTTGACACAAAGGTCACACTCACACATCAGGTGATAATTATGTTGACACAAAGGTCACACTCACACATCAGGTGATAATTATGTTGACACAAAGGTCACACTCACACATCAGGTGATAATTATGTTGACACAAAGGTCACACTCACACATCAGGTGATAATTATGTTGACACAAAGGTCTCACTCACACATCAGGTGATAATCATGCTGACTCAAAGGTCTGCATGATGTTATTAATGAAAAGAAGTTGGATGTCTTGACCCTAAGCTGAAGGGGGTAGGGGAGCTTCGGCGGGGAGAAATAAATGGGATTAAATCAGGAGTATCTGAGAGAGCTAGAGCTAAGGAAAAGGTAGCAATAATGTTGAAGGATCAGTTATGGAAGGAGAAGAGGGAGTATAAATATGTAAATTCAAGGATTATGTGGATTAAAATAGAGGTTGAATACAGAAAATGGGTCATAATAAGCGTGTATGTACCTGGAGAAGAAAAGAGTGTAGAGGAGAGAGAAAGTAATTGTGGTAGGGGACCTAAATGCTAAAGTAGGAGAAACATTTAGAGAGGGTGTGGTAGGTAAGTTTGGGGTGGCAGGTGTAAATGATAATGGGAACCCTTTCACTGAATTTTGTATAGAAAGGGGTTTAGTTATAGGTAATACATATTTTAAGAAAAAGATGATAAATAAGAATACAGGATATGATGAAGGGCGTAATGACATAGTTTGTTAGACTATGTATTGGTAAATAAAATACTGTTGAGTAGACTTCAGGATGTACATGTTTATAGAGGGGCCACAGATATATCAGATCACTTTTTAGTTGTAGCTACACTGAGAGTAAAAGGTAGATGGGATGCAAGGAGAATAGAAGCATCAAGTAAGAGAGAGAGGTGAATGTTTATAAACTAAAAGAGGAGGCAGTTAGGGTAAGATATAAACAGCTATTGGAGGATAGATGGGCTAGTGAGAGTATAGGCAATGGGGTCGAAGATGTATGGGGTAGGTTTAAAAATGTAGTGTTAGAGTGTTCAGCAGAAGTTTGTGGTTACAGGAAAGTGGGTGCGGGAGGGAAGAAGAGTGATTGGTGGAATGATGATATAAAAAGAGTAGTAAGGGAGAAAAAGTTAGCATATGAGAAGTTTTTACAAAGTAGAAGTGATGCAAGGAGGGAAAAGAATATGTTGAAATAAAAGAGAGGTTAAGAGAGTGGTGAAGCAATGTAAAAGAGAGCAAATGAAATAGTGGGTGAGATGTTATCAACAAATTTTGTTGAAAATAAGAAAAAGTTTTGCAGTGAGATGAACAAGCTGAGAAAGCCAAGGGAACAAATGAATTTGTCAATTAAAAACAGGAGAGGAGACTTAATAAATGGAGAGTTAGAGGTATCGGGAAGATGGAGGGAATATTTAGAGGAATTGTTAAATGTTGATGAAGATAGGGGAGCTGTGATTTCGTGTATAGGACAGAGGGGGAATAATATCTTGTAGGAGAGAGGAAGAGCAAGTTGTATGGGGGAAGTTCGTGAGGCAGTGGGTAGAATGAAAGAACAGGGGTAAGGCAGCTAGGATTGATGGGATAAAGATAGAAATGTTAAAAGTAGGTAGGATATAGGTTTGGAGTGGTTGGTGATATTATTTAATAAATGTATGGAAGAGGGTAAGGTACCTAGGGATTGGCAGAGAGCATGCATAGTTCCTTTGTATAAAAGCAAAGGGGAAAAAAGAGAGTGCAAAAATTATAGGGGATAAGTCTGTTGAGTATACCTGGTAAAGTGTATGATAGAGTTATTATTGAAAGAATTAAGAGTAAGATGGAGAGTAGGATAGCAGATGAACAAGGAGGCTTTAGGAAAGGTAGGGGGTGTGTGGACCAGGTGTTTACAGTGAAACATATAAGTGAACAGTATTTAGATAAGGCTAAAGAGGTTTTTGTGGAATTTATGGATTTGGAAAAGGTGTATGACAGGGTGGATAGGGAGGCAATGTGGCAGATGTTGCAGGTGTATGGTGTAGGAGGTAGGTTACTGAAAGCAGTGAAGAGTTTTTACGAGGATAGTGAGGTTCAAGTTAGAGTATGAAGGAAAGAGGGAGATTATTTCCCAGTAAAAGTAGGCCTTAGAAGAGGATGTGTGATGTCACGGTGGTTGTTCAATTTATTTATAGATGGGGTTGTAAGAGAAGTGAATGCGTGGGAGTTGTCACAGTTGTTCTTTGCTGATGATACTGTGGTCTTGGGAGATTCTGAAGAGAAGTTGCAGAGGTTGGTGGATGAATTTGGTAGGGTGTGCAAAAGAAGAAAGTTAAATGTGAATATTGGAAAGAGTAAGGTGATGAGAATAACGAAAAGATTAGGTGATGAAAGATTGGATATCAGATTGGAGGGAGAGAGTATGGAGGAGGTGAATGTATTCAGATATTTGGGAGTGGACGTGTTAGCGGATGGGTCTATGAAAGATGAGGTGAATCATAGAATTGATGAGGGAAAAAGAGTGAGTGGTGCACTTAGGAGTCTGTGGAGACAAAGAACTTTGTCTTTTGGAAACAACGCAAGAACGTTGCTTCCAAAGTGTGAAGTGTAAGTGTGATGCATGGGTGATCAAGGTTGCAGTGAGGAGAAGGCTGGAGGCAGTGGAGATGTCATGTCTGAGGGCAATGTGTGGTGTGAATATAATGCAAAGCATTCTAGTTTCTAAGTTAGGAGGATGTGCAGGATTGCCAAAACTGCTGTCCAGATTGCTGAGAAAGAGTTGTTGAGGTGGTTTGGACATGTAGAGAGAATGGAACGAAACAGAATGACTTCGAGAGTGTATAAATCTGTAGTGGAGGGAAGGTGGGGTTGGGGTCGGTCTTGGAAAGTTTGGAGGGAGTGGGTAAAGGAGGTTTTGCGTGCTAGGGGCTTGGACTTCCAGTATGCGTGAGCGTTTTTGATAGGAGTGAAATGAGACAAATGATTTTTAATACTTGATGTTCTGTTGGAGTGTGACCAAAGTAACATTTATGAAGGGATTCAGGGAAACCGGCAGGCCAGACTTGAGTCCTGGAGATGGGAAGTACAGTGTCGCTCTCTGAAGGAGGGGTGTTAATGTTGCAGTTTTATAACTGTAGTGTAAAGCTCCCCTCTGGCAAGACAGTGATGGAGTGAATGATGATGGAAGTTTCTCCTTTTCGGGCCACCCTGCCTTGGTGGGAATCTGCCGATGTGTTAATAAACAAATAAAACAAAGGTCACACTCGCACATCAGGTGACAATCATGCTGACACTAAGGTCACACTCGCACATCAGGTGATAATCATGCTTATGCAAAGGTCACACTTGCACATCAGGTGATATTCATGCTGATGCAAAGGTTACACTCATACATCAGGTGATAATCATGCTGACACAAAGGTCACACTCGCACATCAGGTGATAATCATGCAGATGCAAAGGTCACACTTGCACATCATGTGATAATCATGCTGATGCAAAGGTTACACTCACACATCAGGTGATAATCATGCTAACACAAAGGTCACACTCACACATCAGGTGATAATCATGCTGACACAAAGGTCACACTTGCACATCAGGTGATAATCATGCTGATGCAAAGGTCACACTCACACATCAGGAGATAATCATGCTGACACAAAGGCCACACTTGCATATCAGGTGATAATCATGCTGACACAAAGGTCACACTCACACATCAGGTGATAATCATGCTGACAAAAAGGTCACACTTGCACATCAGGTGATAATCATGCTGATACAAAGGTCACACTTGCACATCAGGTGATAATCATGCTGATACAAAGGTCACACTTGCACATCAGGTGATAATCATGCTGACACAAAGGTCACACTCACACATCAGGTGATAATCATGCTGACACAAAGGCCACACTTGCACATCAGGTGATAATCATGCTGACACAAAGGTCACACTTGCACATCAGGTGATAATCATGCTGATGCAAAGGTCACACTCACACATCAGGAGATAATCATGCTGACACAAAGGCCACACTTGCATATCAGGTGATAATCATGCTGACACAAAGGTCACACTCACACATCAGGTGATAATCATGCTGACACAAAGGCCACACTTGCACATCAGGTGATAATCATGCTGACACAAAGGTCACACTCACACATCAGGTAATAAAACAAAATTCAGGATATTTAAGAAGGAAAATGTTACGGAAATTTTTTTTCATTGCTTTTCTCTTTATTTTCCCTTTATGTTTTAAATTTCCCATTTGTCCTTTGCATATCCTCTCCCCCAGTCTTTCACTCTCGTAATGTAATACATTGATTGTTGTCATGGTACAGGAGCTGGAATATGGTGTTCAACATGGTGACGAAGCGATGGTGTTGGACGCCCTCGCTCGTGGCGCCGACGTCACCATAACAACTAAGATGGATAATGAACAACCAGGCTGCTTGTTGTGTCTGGCAGGTAAAGTGGGCCACGCCCAGCTGGTGCCTCACCTTCTAGCAGCTGGTCTTAATGTAAATGGCTCAGGAGAGTCCTTGCTGACACCAATATACGTAGCAGCACGTCATGGTCATGATCAGGTGCTGAGAGAACTGCTCAAAGCTCAGCCCAACTTAGAAGACAAGAACTATCAAGGTAAGAACCACAACATCTTCTGTATCTTATTATCTTATGTATTTTAACTCACGTATTTGTAATGGAATAAATCTTTGTTCATGTGGGGATCTCTGTTGCTAAAACTATATTATTATACACTGGTCTTATTATATAACTATATTATTATACACTGGTCTTATTATATAACTATATTATTATACACTGGTCTTATTATATAACAATATTATTATACACTGGTCTTATTATATAACAATATTATTATACACTGGTCTTATTATATAACTTATTATTATACACTGGTCTTATTATATAACTATATTATTATACACTGGTCTTGTTATATAACAATATTATTATACACTGGTCTTATTATATAACTATATTATTATACACTGGTCTTATTATATAACAATATTATTATACACTGGTCTTATTATATAACAATATTATTATACACTGGTCTTATTATATAACTATATTATTATACACTGGTCTTATTATATAACTATATTATTATACACTGGTCTTATTATATAACTATATTATTATACACTGGTCTTATTATATAACTATATTATTATACACTGGTCTTATTATATAACAATATTATTATACACTGTCTTATTATATAACTATATTATTATACACTGGTCTTATTAATATAACTATATTATTATACACTGGTCTTATTATATAACTATATTATTATACACTGGTCTTATTATATAACAATATTATTATACACTGGTCTTATTATATAACTATATTATTATACACTGGTCTTATTATATAACTATATTATTATACACTGGTCTTGTTATATAACTATATTATTATACACTGGTCTTATTATATAACTATATTATTATACACTGGTCTTATTATATAACTATATTATTATACACTGGTCTTGTTATATAACTATATTATTATACACTGGTCTTATTATATAACTATATTATTATACACTGATCTTATTATATAACTATATTATTATACACTGGTCTTATTATATAACTATATTATTATACACTGGTCTTATTATATAACAATATTATTATACACTGGTCTTATTATATAACTATATTATTATACACTGGTCTTGTTATATAACTATATTATTATACACTGGTCTTATTATATAACTATATTATTATACACTGGTCTTGTTATATAACTATATTATTATACACTGGTCTTATTATATAACTATATTATTATACACTGGTCTTGTTATATAACTATATTATTATACACTGGTCTTATTATATAACTATATTATTATACACTGGTCTTATTATATAACTATATTATTATACACTGGTCTTATTATATAACTATATTATTATACACTGGTCTTGTTATATAACAATATTATTATACACTGGTCTTATTATATAACTATATTATTATACACTGGTCTTGTTATATAACAATATTATTATACACTGGTCTTATTATATAACTATATTATTACACACTGGTCTTGTTATATAACAATATTATTATACACTGGTCTTGTTATATAACAATATTATTATACACTGGTCTTATTATATAACTATATTATTACACACTGGTCTTGTTATATAACAATATTATTATACACTGGTCTTGTTATATAACTTGACATTCAGTTTTGAACTGATCTACGCACAGATAAGAACGTATGTGAAAAATAAATAACTTTGCAAATGTTTATTCAAAGTCACTAGTATAAAAAAATCATAACATTTACATTTACACGCTAGAGTATGTGCATATATATGTTCATGTGCGTGCGTGCGTGCGTGCGTGCGTGCGCGTGTAAGTGATGTGTATGTGTTTATGTGTGTCTCTGTGAGTACGCACCTCACCTAATTGTACTCACATGGATCGAATCATAGCTCTTGTCCCCGCTCTTTGAGTTTTATTGTACCTCTTCTCAAAGCTATGTATAAATCTTGCATCCACTATATCACTCTCCAGACTGTTCTACTTCCTGACAACTCTATGACTGAAGAAGTACTTCCTAACATTAATGTAACTCATCTGAGTTCTGAACTTCCAGTTGCTGTGTCATATTTCTGAAGCATTCTGTCCCAATCCACCTTATTAATTCCTCTCAGTATTTTGTATGTCGATATCATGTCTTCCCTATCCCTTCTGTCCTCCAGTGAGTTCCCTTGACCTCTCCTCGTCGGACATACCCCTCAGCTCTGGGACTTGTCTTGCTGCAAACATTTGCACTTCCTCTAATTTCTTGACGTGTTTCACTAGGTGTGGGCTCCATACTGGTGCTACATAATCCAATATGGGCCTGACGTACACGGTGTACAGTGTCGTGAATGACTCCTTACTTAGATGTCGAAACGCTATTCTAAGGCTTGCCAGGAGCCCATGTGCTGCAGCAGTTATTTGGTTGATGTGCATCTCAGGAGATGTGCTCGGTATGTTACTCACCTCAAGATCCTTTAACCTATGTGTATTTTGCAGCCTTTGACCTCTTAGTCTGTACTCCATCCGCCGTCTTCTTTGTCCTTTCCCAAGCTTTATATTTTTGCACTTGCTGGGATTAAACTCCATGAGCCATTTGTCAGACTATGCTTGCAGCCTGTCCAGATCCCGTTGTTGGCTTACTTCAACCTCATTTGCTTGTATTCTCAATAGCTTCATATTGTCTGCAAGCAGGGATACCTCTGAGTCTGTCTCTTCTCTCATGTCATTCACACAAACAAGAAACAGCAGTGGACCTAGGACTGACCCTTGGAACCCCATTCGAAATATGCATCCATTCTGATACTTTATCTCGTACAAACACACGTTTCGTTTCCGTCAGGCACTCCCTGCTCTATTGCAGTACTTTTCTTGTTCTTCCTGACTGTTCCTCTACCTTTTCAAATGTGTCAAAAGCCTTCTTAAAGACCATGAAGATACATTCTACCCATCCCTCTCTCTACTGTCTTACTTCTGTTACCCTGTCGTAGAACTTCAATAGGTTTGTGACGCAGGATTTTTCTTCCCTGAAGCTGTATGCCGTGCTGGTTGCCATGCATGAGCTTGTTCTTTTCTAGGTGCTCCACCACTCACACCTGATAATCTTCTCCATAACTTTACATACTATACATGTCAGCGACACTGGCTTGTAATATAGTGCAGCCTGTCTGACACTCTTCTTAAAAATCAGGACTACATTTACTGTCTTCTACATCTCAGACAGTTGCCCTGTTTCGATAGATTTACTGAAGAGTGTTGTTAGTGGCACACCTAGTGCATCTGTTCCCTCTCTCAGGACCCACAGAGAGAGATTTTCTGGACCCACCACCTTTGAATCATCGAGTTTCCCTAACAGTTTCTTCGCCGCCTAATCGGTTGTGTGAGGTGTTTCCAGCACTGGCTAGAAACCTCTCTGTCTCCATTGTGAATACTTTCTTGAATCGTGAGGTGAGCTCCTCATATACATCCTGGTCATTCCCTGTTTGCTTTCCTCCTTCCTTCCTGTTGCTTTCCTCCTGATATGGCTATATAACAATTTTGGTCATATTTGGGTTTTGATGCTATGTTATTCTCGTATTAACACTGCACTTCTCTCCTTATCCATGCATACTCATTTCTGACTCTGTCACTCAGCTCACTGTTTTCTGGGTCCTTTGCCTTCTGTACTTTCTCGATAATCTAATACACTTGGCTTTGGCCTCTCCACACCTCTGGGTTCCCTCTGGTCTTCCTGTTGTTTCTGTTGCCCCTTGGCACGAACCTCTCCACTGCCTGCCTGCACTTTGTGGTCATGTAATCCACCATTTCATTTATGACCTTCCCCTCTTGCTCTCTTATCCACTGAACCTCAAGTACTAATAGCCTAATACCTATGTAGTCCACTATTTGGAAATTTGACTTTTCCTGTCCTTCTCGTAATGCTTCACTCACCATTCCTAACCCTACTGTGCATTTGAAACTCAAGACCACGTAATTTCTAGCGCCTAGAGTCCTTTCATGTGTGATATCCCCTATGTATAAACTGTTCAAGGTGAAAACGAGGTCCAACCTTGTTGGTTCATCATCTCTCTCTCCACGGTTGTGTCCCTAACATATTGTTACATGAAGTTTTCCTGTGCCATCTCCAGCATCATAACTCTCCACGTCTCTGGTCCCCTGTGTGGTTCCACATTCTCTCACTCAATCTCCTTATGAATAAAGTCCCCAATGATGAGCAACTTTCCCTGCTCATGTAGGCCCTTCTGGCAACCTCTGCTAGTGTGTCCACCACCACTCTATTGCTCTCATCATCTTTTTGTCTTGGCCTCCTGCTCTTTGGTGGCATCATCATCATCACTTTTTGTTTGGTGTTCCTACAATGTTGTCATCTGCTACTTCTCTGACTAGTTCTCTCATCTCCCTCCCTCCTGAGGAGCATACAACTCCTTCCCATCTGTCACCCCTGTGTTTCCCCAGGATCGGATATTCAGACTAGAAAATTGCGTCTGTTATCACTCGTGTGAGCTTTGTCTCTGTGAGTACTATGATGTCTGAGGCATGCCTCAGTGATTCTTTCCTGCCACTCCTCACTCTTATTTGTAATTCCATTTGCATTTGTGTACCATACATTCGGCTTCCTTTCTAGAACTGTGTTCTGGGGGTGGGAGGGGTTGGTGCAGGCTGAGGGTTGTGGATGGCAGTTCTGGATATTATGGTAGGCCGCTATTGTGGTGATATTAGTGCTGGAGGGGATGGGGACTGTGAATGTGGAGTGTGGTTTGGTTTTGATTCTTGTGTTTGGTTGGTGTTGAGGGAATTATGTGGATGGTGCTGTGGGGGGTTCTGTAGTCAGCTGTGTTTGCTGCTGCAAACACAGATCGGATTGTAACATATCGACTTCTTTATTTTTCAACCGATTACGTTCATTTTTGGTGTACTATTAGAAGCTTATATCGAGTATCCTGTGCTGAAGTTTCAAACATATCGGCCAAAAAGGAAATGAAATTTGAAAATTTACGAGAAATTGCATTTGGCAGCGGAGCTGTACTCAGTGGTACTTGGAA